GAAATTTTATTTACATTTTTGGCGTTTTCTTACAAATCAAAAATGGAGTGAAAAACAATGCTGTAGGGTGGAGCTGACACAGACTTTCTCAGGGGGAAGGGAGAGAAGAGCTGGCTCCTTTGGCTGCAATGGCCATGCCTTTCTCCTGCAACTTTCAGTCCTGCCGCCCAGAGAAGAAAGAGATGCCCCCGGGCCCCGTTGAAATTTTATTTACATTTTTGGCGTTTTCTTACAAATCAAAAATGGAGTGAAAAACAATGCTGTAGGGTGGAGCTGACACAGACTTTCTCAGGGGGAAGGGAGAGAAGAGCTGGCTCCTTTGGCTGCAATGGCCATGCCTTTCTCCTGCAACTTTCAGTCCTGCCGCCCAGAGAAGAAAGAGATGCCCCCGGGCCCCGTTTCAGCCTCAGGCGCTGTGCTGTCCCCTTGCTTTCCTAGCATTGCCCCGGGCCAGTCTGTGGAACCAAGTAAGTTGACTCTTTTGCTTGCATTTGGTGCCCTCGAAGCATCGCCTTGCCGGGCGGAAGGGGTAGGTGCAGGGCGGGAGCTCGGCTGGGGTTTGTAAGAGCTGGCGGGTTCGGACCGGAGGCTCTCGGAAATAGTCCCGCAGTTCAGGGAAATCCACCTACTACGGCCCCTCTCCCACCAGCTGCGGGCGGTGCAGTGGGAGCCACAAACTCCTCGCCTCGCCAAGGGAGCGGCCGCTCGGGGGCTGCAGTAGCGGGGTTATCCCGGCCCTTGCCTGGCTTAAGGCCCCGGGGCTGGGCGGAGCTGCGGGTTGCAAGGAATAGGGGGTGCTGCGCTGCGGGTCTAAAGCGCTGTGAGCCCAGCCCGCTGCGGCTGGGGGCCTACGCTGCCCCAGGCCTTCCAGTAGCCAACAGCCTCAGTCTGGCCCCTTGTCGGCCGAAAAGGAGCCTTCCCCCTGTGCAGCGGCACCCACAGCCCTTGCCCGGGCCACGTGGAGAAGGTCTGCGGGGCTCCTGAGAACGGGGGGAAAGTCTGCGGGGCGCTAAATCCAGCCTGCAACTGCCCAGCGGCCCCGAAGAAGGGCGACAGCAATCTGCTGGACACTGTCTGGTGCATTGCTCTGCTCACCCGGCTTGAAGCAAACAGGAAGTAAATGAGCAGGCAATGCCAGCGTGTCCTGTCATCGCACTCTCAGGATTTCCTTACTTGTTTTGGCTCCAGTAGGAGTTACCTGAATTTTGCCAGGAGGAAGCCAACATATTCCATTCACACTCACTCCCTAGGGTGCTGGCAAAGCTTCCCAAAAGGAAGAGTGTGTGTGTGTGTGTGGGGGGGGGGTTCCCCGTCTCCTGCACCCCGAAATGGTCCAGCTGAAAAGGATAGTTGATTTTCAGGTGACAGGGCTGATGTTCAAGGCCAAGCAGAGCAAGATACTAAGTTACTCAATGTAAAAGCCTGTTTTGTCTCTGCCGAACACGTGCTGAATGCATGCTGTAAAAGTCTACTAGAAGTGCAGCGCTACCTGTTTGTGGAATAGGCAGTGGAAATATTTGTAAGGAAAAAAAAGTTATACACAGATACAAGTAATCAAGGCCATTGCTTTTATCAAGAAAACTCCACATAAAGTTGTTTTAAGAGTGAGATGAGCATTTATGTAAGCAATTAGGGTTTTTTTAGCAACAGAGGCGTTTGAAGTAAAACATAGTTATATGCTATTATTGTGAGCCATAGAAAACAAGAACTAATGAATAAGTAAGCTGTAGGTACAGCTTTACAATAGTGCTTGCTTTACACCGAATGTTATACATTTGCTAGTTTCCAAAATAATGTAGACATTGATAGTGACTAGAATCATGTGTATACATAGAACCTTCAAGCATAAAATATACATTCCCCGCTATGTTTGAAGGATATAGTAATAGTTTAAAAATCCTAATTTTTGACCCTTTTGGCGTTAGAGATATGAGAATATTATTGTGTGTTTGAAAGTTATATTAGCAGACAAGGAAAATGTCTTTTTATGCAGACAATGTATTTGACTTGTAGCAATAGTCTTCACTCTTGATCTAACATTTGATTTTTGAAATAAGCAATATTAATGTAATATTGACAACTAATTAGCAGCACTCTGAATATTGTATAGAATATTTTGCATTTGTAAGGGAAGTTAAGAAAATTACTACATCATATAGTCTCTTAATTTAAGATGCCAAATATCTTCTGCATAAAAATGCATATTTTAAATACGAAATCCAAAGAATTATTTTATGTACTACGTAGGGACATTTTAAAATTTCTTTTATAAAATGTATCTTTAAGACCAAAAAATATGTGTTGTGCAGCAGGAAAATAGGATAGTCAAGACTTTGAAAATAATATCTGACTAAGAAGTCACTGAGACATATGTGAAGAATGTCTACATGTATATCACTTTGAAAGAATTTTTAAATGAAATGAAGAGGTGTTAAAATTTGCATTACTGGAAGAATCAACCCAGTCTTTAAAATGTTGGAACAATTGCCTTATTGCTCTGATTTCTGAAGCACCCTGAAAAAACTGCTTTGAACTTTGATATGAAGATGTAAACATAATTGTTCTTTTTTAATAAATATTTTCAAATGTCTCATTATATCAACTGATAAAGTATTTGCAATTATTTTGCTTTGCATTCTTTTTAAGGCCTTAATTTTGCCTAAAAATGCATGCAATTAAAACTCAATCATGCAACTAATCGTATTTACTTCAGTGGGACTGCTGACCTGAATAAATACATTACTGGATCAGGGCTTACATTATTTGAAAAACACTTTCTTTAACCTTAAAAAACAACAAATAATCTGGTAGGACTTTAAAGACTAACAAAACATTTAGATGGTATCATGAGCTTTCATGGGCACAGCCCACTTCGTCAGATGACCAGAGTGTTGGTTTCCAGAACTAAAATAAATAGGAGAAAAGGGAGGGAGATGGAGAAGGAAAAAATGATGGGGGGGGGGGGGTGTACAGGAAGAGGCAGTAGGTAAAAAAATATCAAGGGGAAAGCCGAGCTGGAATGTAACAGGAAAAACAAATAGTCTATATGTATTTATGCTGGGTATTGTGAACATGTAATTTTGCAGGTGCAAAGGATTTTTCGAATTGGCTTCATGGAATGCAATATTGGAAAACTACCAAAGATATGCAAATTAAATCTTAAAACGGGAATTGTAAGTTTAAATGAATTACTAAAAACACAAATAACCATGTGGCGATCCTGAATGCTTCAACTCCTATTTAAGATTGTCATTTCAATCCTGGTTGTTTCAATGCATGAATCATTATATATTTGTTTTATAGAGTGTCAAAGTGTGCAAAGCACTTCACCTGAGACTTGGCTCCTGCCTGAGAGAGTTTACAATCTGAATTGCAGGCATGACACAAGAGGAGAGGAAGACAAGCATAATCAGGGGAGAGGACAATGCTCGCAAGAGGCACTAATGGATCAAATTCTATTATCAGAATCTAAGAGGTGTGTGTACCTTATTTTTCTAGGTTTCTTTAGATACTTAAAGATTTTTAAACAATCCACTACCCAACACTGTCCCATCTCTGATTACACATACCTACATCCAGTGCTTTTTTTTGTGATGGTACTGCCCGGTACGCAGTACTGGCACCGGCACCTCCAAACGCAGTAACAACACCTCCAGTCAGAGCTCAACAACTTTTCCCCTGGAGTACTGGCACCTTTTTATTTTAAACAAAAAAAGCACTGCCTACATCTTTCTGAATTAACCAGTGGCTTTAAATCCTTCAAAACACTGTATTACAGAAACAGATAAGTGAAATCTTGGCTCTACTGAAATCAATGGCAAAATACAGTAGGGCCAGGATTTCACTCATTCCGTGTTAATACTTTACATCACATGTAAGGTAGAGATTTTAAATTATCTTTAAAATAACTGAAATTAACTGTTTTAAAAATTCTAAATGGTTGTTGACTCTTTTTTTTCTGATGGTAATAGGTAATTGAGATAAATGTAAAATATATGTGACCAGTTCTCATAACATTTTAATTTAGTTTGGCTACTGTTTAGCAGTTTAGCTCAAACTCAGTTTAGCAGTTTAGCTCAAAATCTACTGCAGTTGGTCTATTTAACATATGAAAAGCAT